GAGCGCGGTTTGTGCGCCGGGGCCGGCCCCCCGGGTCTGCGTGAGGTGCTCGGGGGCTGGGGGGGGACGGACGGGGACGGGTTCTGCCGGTGCTTGTGTGGGGGCAGAGGCGCTGCCCCGGCCCCGCAGGAGCCAGGACTTGCCGCAGTGGGTCGCGCTGTTCAGGACCTGTGCGTGCCAGCAGATGAGTTTTACCCCCCTTTTCCCCCAGGAGACTGGGGCGGGGGGGCGCTGCTGGGACTCCACCTTCGAGTCGGTCTAGTCAGGTGTGGGGCCGTGGGCTGCGCGTAGGGCCCTCGGGCCGGGGCTGCCAGCACACCCCCCGTCTTGGGGCGGCGGGGAGCATCTGCGAGCAAAGGCCAGGGTGAGCAGGTCCCTGCAGGATCCGAGTTGTCGTGGTGGCATTTGCTGCGTGGTGAAGCAAGGCGACAAAATCTCACCAGGGGCTCCGTGCTCGGTGGTCGCTGTGGCTTTTTCATCTGGCTCCTGCCAAACTCGCAAACGCAATGTGGTTCTGAGCATTTACAGGCTGTGGTGGGCCTAGTGGTCATGCTCATATCGCTTAAATCGTTCATAAAATGAGCTGGCATTCAAATATTTCAGTATTATTTGGCTTTCCCTTCCTAGAAATCTTTGTGTTTGAACTGTGGTGTGTCAGGAAGTTTCAGTTAACTTGAGGCACTTACTGTTGGGATGTTCAGTTAATTACACTAATGTTAATAACACGCATTAATGTTGCTTGCCTGCATTCCATACTCTTCTTGCATTTTTAGAATATGTTTTCTGTTGGAAAGTGGTTTAATGTTCAGAAACTGATTGCAAAGTCTTGTTTTGAGATATGATTCTGAAGGCCCTGTTCTGTGTAAGTGGTCCCACTTATCGAATTAAGTTTTTGTAGTTCTGTGTCCCAGATCTGTATCTGAGATTCTGAATTGCACTCAAAGCCATAGAAAGTGGTGGAAAATCAGTGAGGGAAGAGCAGGGAAGTAGGAGAAAAATGGAGTATAATAACTGCACACTGCTGTTGGAATACAGGTTTCATAAGTACGAAAACAGGGTTTGCTTTTTGTATTGTCTCTTCCTCTTTCTTGCCTTCCTATTTTGCTCTCTTCAGCTTTTGTTCCAATGCATTACTTTTTACAAGTGTAGATTTTGCAGGCCAGCTGTTAATCTTTAAACACATTGCTTAAGTGTTTATGTCAGTCTGTCTACCTGTCTTTGGGATGACTGTGGCTAATGGCAGCACGACCAAAGTTATAACTGCAGTTGAAGTGAGTTCTCTGTGGTTTAGAAGCTATGTATATGAATGACTTAAATTCACTTAATTTTTTTCTTCTTGTTCCAGACAGAAGAGTTCGTGGTTTCTGGTTTGCATAACGGCAGAGGCGGAATAGACTATAGTGCAGGTGAAAAGTGTCAAGTCCCTTGCAAGGCTTTGCTCTGTAAAAAAGAAGAAATGAGTCCTGCAAATGATGATGCAGTGTTTGAGACCATTTTTGACTGGGACTATCTCTTATGGGAAGTTCGTTTGTCATTTATAGCTGCTGGGTTTTTAATCTACTCGGGAATATTTCTTCTGTCTCACTGGTTGTCTTCACTGATAAGTACCACTTATCGTGCCTTGTATGCAAAGGAGAAGGTGTTTTGGAATATGGCAGTCACACGTGGTGTGTTTGGACTTCAGAGCTGTGTTGCTGGTTTATGGGCTTTGCTCATAGATCCTGTTTTTCATGCTGACAAAGTACATTCACAGCAAAATTGGAGTTGGTTTAACTGTTTAATAGCTGCTGGATTTTTCTTGCTTGAAAATGTAGCTGTTCATATGTCCAACATTATTTTTAGAACATTTGATGTGTTCTTGGTAGTTCATCACTTGCTTGCTTTTGGTGGCTTGGCTGGTCTAGTGATTAATGTGAAATCTGGACATTATCTGCCTTTGATGGGAATGTTGCTGGAGATGAGCACTCCCTCAACGTGCATTTCCTGGATGCTTCTAAAGGTAAGAACATAATTTTCAAATTATGTTTGTAACAGTTTTCATGCATCTTTACTTGCCCATAGGTAATCTGTGTGGTTTGTCTAGATAGCTTTTGGGCAAAACTCCGTTCATCTGGCTGATATCCATGTTATTTTGATACCTGCTTTTGTTGTGGTGATATTTCTGTAGTCCTACATACAGGTTTCTGTGTGATGCTGTGTGCATGTGGATAGTGAGATGGTATAGATTCACTCTGAGTTTGGGATGCCGTATGCATGTGGAATATCATAGCTCTGCATGGGAAAAATGCCTGAGAGTGTGTACTACAGATTGCCCAGTTCTTGATCTTGAAATTACAGTCTAATTTCTGCATACTTTCTGTTCTTGTTTTTTTCTAGGCTGGCTGTGCTAACACCTTTTTCTGGAAGGCAAACCAGTGGGTGATGATCCACCTGTTTCACTGCCGCATGATTCTTACTTACCACATGTGGTGGGTGTGTATTTTCAATTGGAATTCTGTGATGGAAAATTTGGGACTTCTTCATTTTATTGTTTTATTCTCCGGATTATTTGCCGTTACACTAATACTTAACCCATACTGGACGTACAAAAAAACTCAGCAACTCCTCAGCCCAACTGACTGGAACTTTGAAAATAAAACAATGGAAAATGGAAGATTAAATGGTGAAACACATCAAAAGAAGAGGATATAACACTGAAACAGCTGTATCCTATAGGGCAGCGGAAGAATACAATGCAAATTAATTCTTTGCCTGTGAACTAGAAGCTTTTGCAAGAAGCTCATTAACACAGTGATTCCTTGCTGGTAATATTCTTTATGCACCAGAAGTATTTAAAGCATTGTTTATTTTTCGTATGTGCATATACATAAGGTCTTCAACCTCTTAGTTATAAATTATACCAACAATTTTGTCAGGTTGGACAGTTATTTCATGATTTAGTAGTGACATGCTCTCTAATGGCACCCTGTGTCCTAATGATTCAAAGTGGCTTTACAGTAAATTTGTTTTTTAAGCTCATCTTGAAACAAGTTTAGCTTGAATCCAATTTCATATATGTTGGAGATAGTGATACTGGAAATTATGTTGTTTATTAAGAGAGGTATGCATGGGTACCTTGTTCCTTTCTGCCATTAAATCATTCCAAGTGGTTGAATTGATCAGAGGTAGAATGCAGTCAGGGCTAGGTTTTGGGGTGGTTTGGGGTTTTTTTGTTTGTTTGGTTTTTTTTTTTTCTTTTAAGTGCACTTGAGGAAGATAATTGTTTGAGTGCTCACTGTCAAAGTGAGTTGTAGTTTCTAGCTTGCTCTCATGGGAAGCGTTTCCATCCACCACAGGTCTGCGTGTGGGGTTGCAGACATTTGTTACACTGGTGGTCTAGCTAGGTAATCATGGTGGTCACTTCTGGACTTGAAATCATTGAAGTGCAAGCAGCAATGACAGAATGTTTGACTCTGTTTCATCGTGGAAAAGATTGCTGGTTGATTAGTAAAATAATTTTCTTTGTAGGTCTGACATAAGCAGTTGTGCAGTTGGTTCCACTAGTGTGCTACGATTCATCTTATTTTTGGAAATTCTCTTAGTTATAGAGGATTTTAGAAGCTGAGGTGACTCCTCTGTGAAGGAAAGCCTGTATCATCTCCTTTAGGAGTTCAGTTGTTCTTTTAGTATTTTTATTTTACTTAAAAGAACATACAGAATGACGCTAACAATCCTTTGCACTTTATCTGCCACATCACTTCCCTTGACCTAAGGAATAGGGTTGCTTTTTTTAAATAGAGGCTTGACAAATTGTGGTGAACATCCTTCTACTACTAGTATTGGTCTGATGGTTCCTGGATGAAATCTTGTACAGCGTGTGAAGGAATAAAGGTCGCAATAGAAAAGGGTGACACCTAGTGGCAGGAGAATGGCAAAAGTATTAATTTTGGTGTACGGAGCTAGTGGGATAAAAAGCCTGTCCTTTGGACCTTTGTTGTATAGTGTGACGACACTGCTACACAGATTTATTTTTCAAAGTAGTAAGACTGGGCAAGCCCAAGCTGTGAAGAATTTTAGGTCAAGGCATGTGTTAGAGGCTTTGTGTACTGATCTGTGGTGTAACATACTGTTTTAAATGTGTAAGGGAAGCACTGTTTGGTGTAAAAAACCCCATTTTAATTAATTTTTGGTGGGAATGTCTTTGATTTTGTTGTGAGTGAAGGGAGGAAACTAGTAGTCAGTTGCTATACTCCCTATTACACTTTGTGTGAGCACAGAGTTAAAAGAGCTGCTGTGTGAGGGAAACTTACTACTGTTAGGTCACAAATGTATAGCCAGATCTTGTTGATATGATGAAGTGGTGATTATCTAAAATCACCTGTTAAAAACGGGGCTTAGAGGGTCATAGGAGTTTTACACGGCAACTCTATCTGTTATCCTGATGATATTCAATACAGAAAATCTAAATTTTTTGCTATCTTCTTATTTTGAAGCAGACCAGTGTGAAGTTGCAGTGTGTTAGCAGTGTCACCTGTCTTGGACACCATTTTAGAGAAAAGAGGATTCTCTACAGCTTGAAATTACTTTGCTCTCCTGAGGGGTTGTATGTGGGAGAGTAATAAAGTACTTTAGAAGAAAACAGAGGGATGAATTCCTCGGAAACAGAATCCAGATATGTGATCCAAATGCATATCTTGCAGAATCCAAACCTCACTTGCAGGAATTCCAGGGGAAGGGAGGCAGAGGATAAGTCACCTGATATCAAAATGATGGTGTGTTCTATGCTGCTTAAAACTTAAAGGTTTGGAATTGATAAAACGAGGTAATTAGTATAAAAATCCCAGCAATAGAATTCTGAAGAATCCTAACAAAAAATGGAAGCATCAGAAGAAAAGTAAGTTTGTGCCAAGTATGTAATTCTTACAATGACTGGCTAAAGGAGGTGAAATTTCTATGTGCTAAAATAAAAGAATATGGAGGATTGGGGCTAGTAATGAATTTGGAACTGAAAAAAGAGGTTAGGTGTGCTCCAAGCAGACAGGTGGATAGTTATGGCAGTGGCACCAGACTTCTAAAGTTTAATATTTTGTAGTATTAACTTGTCTAATGTTATTAAATGGATTTAAAATCTTTCATTAAAAGGGTTTTTTTAATTATAATAAGGCAATCTTTTTTTTTTTTTTTGTATACATCTTAGTGTGAGCTTTTTTCACACAAAGACTGTTATGGTGTATCTTGAAAATCATTTGCATGTCTTGACTATGTAATTAATAATACCTAACAGCACCTGTTCTAGGAGGTCTAGCAGTGCTTAGGTTAACAAGGGAGCAATGCAATAAAGCCAGTTACAGCACTCATTTTATTTCTGTTAGTTTGAGGGATGAGGGGATTTTACAGTCCAGCTAGAAATACAACAGGACATAAAAATAAAGACAACCTTTCTTCTTCATCTTGATGGCCTAGAATTGGAGTTACCAGTTCTATTACACAAAGACTCTTTTTTTATATACTGGAGTGTTTTCTTCACTGTCTTTTGGCTGCTCTCATCAAGAGGATTTTCTAGTTTGTGATTGTGGACGACTCTCATTGCTTTGAAACAAGACTGAAAAAGCTCTCTTAACTGAGGGTTTTGCTATCTACGCTCATAACCAAGTGATGCTTTTCAACCCAAAGGTAGACTAGCCATAGTTTGTTTATAAATTTTGTTAATGTGAAATTAATCCCAGTCCTTTTGGGCCAATCTTACAGGGCCTGATCTGCAATCCAATGTAGAAAAATGCAGTCAGCTTCAGTAGTGGCTGGATCAGGTCACAGGGTGTGTTGCTGCAGTGATTTGGACAACTCCTGCATAATATGTTTTCGGGTGAATTTTTTGTTTGCCTGGATGACTATTAGACACTTTTCATCCTGCTTTCTTGTGGGTCAAGCTTATTCAAGGAGTACTTTTTTTGTCATCTTTCTGGCTAAAACATTTTTTAAAAAAACAAATCCAAACCAAACTACAAACTATGATGGGTGTGTTTGAGGTTTGTTTTGGGGGTTGGTTGGTTGTTTTTTTTTTCAGGGGGGTGGGGGGTGTGTTTTGTGTGATCTAAGACACTCTGGCCAGGCATCTGGTTTTTACTGTCTTCATACATCATTCCTAAATCACTGATTGTGTTTGCCTCCATTTGTGTACTGTCTTATGTTTTTTCCAAAAGCTGTCATGGTTTCCCTTCCCACTCACCAATTTTTCTACAATATTTACTCTTACTTACAGTACTGGTCATGACCTTGCAACAGTCACATTACCACAGTGATGTCTTTGTCTAATAGTTTTCAGCTTGTACTGTTGGGCCCTTCTTCCACTACATACTCATGTCCGAATCTTTCAGGTTTTTTTGCTTTTTCCTGATAACAGTGATTAAATATTGATGTCATGTGCAGTTATAAAACACCTTTCTTAAGCTCAGGGAGACTGCCACTTAAAGTGAATTTAGAAGTATTAAGCAAATTCAGGTCTGCTCTTGTACAATATAACTTCTGTTGAATGGTACAGTATCTTTACAATGTGTACATAAATAAAAGTATTTTATTGAGTAATTGTCTACTGTGAGTTTCATTTACTGATGAAAATGCCTATTTTTTTAATTGCTATTTGTAGCTTAAACAGTTTTTGCGGTGCATGCACTAAAAAGATGACTTGTTTATTTTGAAATATTATGTTAAACTTGACAAAGGTAATATCATATCCATGGAAGTGGTTATAAAACCTTGTAAACTAATGTCTCTTCACCAACACTTAATATATTATTAACATGAGCATGTTTAGTTACATGACTAAAACACTAGCAGCTGGGCTATATGTAAATACATATTAAAAACTGTTTTAAAAATCACTTGGAAATGGCCCTTCTGGCTTGTGTATTTGAAGTGTGTGGTCTATTTTTTCATTGGGTTCTAACTGTGAAAACACTTTGTTTGGTACTACATGACACCTCAAGGTTTAGTATGAGCCACCTTAAATTTAAAAAAACCCAACCAAACAAACCCCAAAAAACAAACCAGGAAAACCCCCAAAACTTGTCTCATTGCTAAATAACAAAATACAGTTCTAAGCATTAAACCTGTGTGTCTTGTGTGGTGATTTGCAGGAATGAATTCCTGTTGTTTTTTAGCATAAGTGAGTTAAAGGAAAATATCATAATTACAGCTATTTTAATTATTCTTGTAAGAATGCACTGTGTAAGCAACTGGCTGGCATAATTTTGCTAGCTGCCTCAAGTCCCCAAGATTAATGGAAGCAAAAATTCGTGTATAAAGCTCCATTAACTGGAATGTGCGTGGGTACAGATGGATGAGAAGAATAATGCATAATAGTAATCATATGAATAAAGTCCTTTTTTCTGTAAATGATCTGTAGAATGAATTTAAATGTTACTAATGTTTTGCTGTTCAGATGTTTTCAATTAATAGGTAAATATATTTTACTCCTAAGTTCCTACCATATTCCCAGAAAAGTATTAGAACGCACCTATCCTGACTATTATTTAGCAATTACAATCTTTTGATCCTGTGTCATGGCACTGGTGTTTCAGTTGATAATTTGAAACAAAAAAGAAGTGATGGTCATTAATTAAGTGAATTATGCCTGTTCTAGTTGTCAGCCCTCAGATGGGTTTCCAGTGTCGGAAGGGACATTGCATGCTCTGGAACTGATTGGCAAACAAGTGTGTTCTGCTTAATGGTAGTGTCACAGAGCAGAAGTAAGTGTTCTTGCAGCGCACTGTGCCTTTCTGTTTTCTGCAAGTAAAAAACTTCTGAGAGAGGTGGATTGGCAAAGAGAATGATGTAGTAAATGTGCAGTGACTAAGCATTCAAGGTGGTAGACAGGTGTAGCTTGAAAGGAAAAAAGCGGGGTCTGCTCACCTGTCCCTTAGGAAGAAGGTGGTGAGGAAATTGGCTGTGCCATTGCTTGCTGCTGTCTGTGTGTGTGCGCGTGTGTTTGTTCTGATGAGTCAGCTAAGGTCACTTCTGAGTCCTTATGGATATGACCTGAGCAGAGAGAGCGGAAATTTAATACTAGCTTTATCAGATAAAGGCTGCATTACTTCTGGTCTGAAATATTTATTTCTTCATATGACTTTCCTCTTAGCTGCCTCTGCTCCTTTGAATGCTTAGCTCATATTAGAGTGCTGTATAAGCTGAGACTTTTCACCGATGTGTTCTCTGACATTTACTGCAAAGACTTGTGAGGATGTGCCTTGTTTTAGTACCGATACTTGATTGTGGCAGCTCCAGCTTACTCACTCAGCCCGACTTTGATATTGCTATTGCTATATATGTCTGCAACTTCCTTCTCCTGCTTTGCTACTTCTGCTGCCAAAAATGCTTTGCCCTGTGAACGCTGCATTTTGTCACCAGAGCTGTGCTTGCTGAAGTATAAGCATGGGGCTTGCACCAAGCTGGGGGAAAATATCTGAGAAAGGACTGGTTTTGTAGAAGGTAGAAGCCTGGCCGAGAAGCAACCCTGTGGCCGATGGCAAATTTGGTGGCCAGAAGCAGGCTGGTGCTTGTCTGTTTCCAGCGGAAGATGGGGGTGTTGAAGGAGCTGCCGCACGCAGCCATTTGCAGACCTGCACGGGTGAGAGGGTCATGGGATGAGGTGGGGACCCGCGGGAGTCTCCTGGGGCACCTGCCGAGCTGGCCCCAAGCACTGTCATCCCCCTGCTCTGCGCTAGCTGAGTGGGGAGCTTGTGGCAGGGACGATCGCTGTGGGGTGAGCTGCTGTGCCAGGGGGATGGGTTTGCACACCAGGGAGGGGAAATGAGAGAAATGGGAAATTGTCTGTAAATGTTGTTGACTGGGCAGATTGGTCCCGAAAGAGAGGCCTGAGCAAAGGCTGGGGGTGCCATGGCAATCCCAAGCTGGCAGGGGAGGGGGCACAGGAGACAGAGATGGAGGAGGGAGAGGTGCAATGTTCCCCCAAAGTGTGTCCCTGGGCCCTCGGGGTTGGGGTCAGTCAACCTGCAGCAGTGAAGGTGTTGGGGAAGAAGAATGGCTGCAGGAGCCGAGGCATCAGAAGGGCCTGGGGGCCACACGGTGGGTGCCCCAGGGCTGGCCGGGCCATGGTCAGTGCAGTGGGCGCAGGTCTGGCTGCTTGTGTTTGAGCATTGCTGCGGACGGAATGTTGGGGCTCCCTGTCTTCTGTCCCGCCCCCAAGAGGTTTTCTTGCTCCTCCCAGGGAGGGTAAGGCTTAAGCTAAGAGTTAAAAGAAGAGTTACAGTCTGGGGCTCCATGTCCAAGTAGAAACCAGTAAGGAATGATGTCCCCCAAGGGTACGGCACAAAATATGGCTTATATTCCCCTATATTTTTATGTTACAGAAGGCACAAAGACTCGAGGAAAGAATTCCTGCAGGAGCAGAGGATGCAGTAACACCCTTGGTACGGGCTAGCGGAATCCCAGGTGAGTCTAAATTGGCGGAACCAGTAAAAGTTCTAAAATCTGGAAGTGAACAGGTAAGGCAAAGCCAGCATCCTATGAAGTAGGAAGCTAGAAAGGGGTTGGAAGAATTAATAAAGAAAATTTTTTAATTATGGATTGTTGATAAGAGTATGAGTCAGAATAGAACAGCCTGATACGGTCAGTGAAAAAGCAAAATGACAAGGAGTATAGATGAGTTCAACATTTAAGAGCCGTGAACCAGATTGTTCAGGACCTTCACCCAGTAGCAGCTAACCCACATATCCTTCTGACGCCTTTGAAGGAAAAGCAGAAGTGGTTTCCTGTACCTGATCTCCAGGATGCTTTCTTCTGCGTACCTCTAGGCAAAGACAGTCAGGTGATGTTCACCTTTGAATGGGAAAGCCCCAGC